TTGTGAGGGCTTTATTGCTCTCAGCTCAACAAGCACGGAAGGCGTCCTTCTGAACGCACGAGGAGTTCGGGGAGACCTTAATGTCTCTCAAGAAGACAGGGTGTTCTGCGGTAGATGTGCTGCGTGGGATGGGATTCCCCTACAATCGTTTGAAGATGTTTGAAAATAGCTTAATTTGTTACTACTAGTAACAAGTGCCACGCTAGTAGTAACAAGTGCCTTACTACTAGTAACAAGAAGCTATTAATTTAGATTAAACTATCAAAGCCTTTTGGGACCCTCCGGAGTGGATCAGCCGAGTTTAGGGAGATCGATGCTTGAGCTTTAGTTCCTGGGACAAAACCCTTGACTCCCCCAACTCCTCCCCAGCCGCAGTCCACTCCTCTTCCTTGGTGAGGTGCGACCTCTGAAGGCTCTTCCACTCCAACCAGCCACACGACGTAGAACAAGACCCAACACCGGGTTGTTTATTGGAAGGTGTTACATAGAAGGGCTCGAGATTGCTAGTGCTGAAGATAAGAACAACTCGCGTGCCCCAGTGGCCTATATGCCACGCCTTTTGCCATAGTGATTGCTTTGTGCTGGCTGTTTCTGGACTTGGAGATAGGAGAGGAGAACAAGCAGTGAAAGCACCTTGAATGGTGGCTTTCAATTGACCCTACAAAGCTTCGGAGACTACTCGAAGTACATGCAGGGCAACGAGGGAACAAGCAGTGAAAGCACCTTGAATGGTGGCTTTCAGATGACCCAACAAAGCTTCAGGGACTACTCGAAGTACATGGAGGGCAACGAGAGAACAAGCAGTGAAAACACCTTGAATGGTGGCTTTCAAATGACCCTTCGAAGCTTCGGAGACTACTCGAAGTACATGCAGGTCAACCAGGGAGGAAGTAGTGGTGGTTCTCGAACGACTCTACAAAGCTTCGGAGATTACCTGAAGGACATGCGAGGAGAGCTGTGCAAATGCGCAGGGCGTAGGAAGTGCCAATGTGATGGCCTGCGCGCGCGCCCGCAGGAACACCGTGGCACGTATGCAATTTGAAATTCCGCGCTTGTTTTCCAAACCTGACCGCGGCGGGTCAGCTATGTCTATGCTGCTGTTCCCGTTTATATTTTTGTTTGGAGTGTGCGAGCGCATGGCTAGAGGACCATACTCAGCCGTTAGGTGCACAAGCCCACCTTTGCTCGACTTATCCGAGGATGTAGGCATATCAAGTCTTGCATCCATTGTTGATTTGTTTGCTTGGAAGCAGGGGCTCGAAAGTTCAACTGATGCTTCAGCTGGGCGAGGGCCTGCGTTCCACAATGGCTTGTTTTAATTCGGTGCATGTTGCTGCTACTGGCTTCGACCATATGGCATATGCAAAAAAAAAAAGTGTTACATAGAGAAAAAGGTCCAAACTTGGACTCCAACCTTCTCTCCTCATCCCTCAATGGTTTTTCTCCGAAACTTCGACCTCCACAGATCGTGCCGAGGCGCCACGACCGGTGAAGAGTAAAGAGAAGATCCCTGGGCCCAGCTGTGGCTCCGGCACCAAGCCCAAGGCAGTGACCGGAGTCCCACCACAAGGCGGATCCACGTGGGGCGTGACGTTCAAATGGACACCTGCGGAGGAAGCCGGAAGAGGTAGCTCATGGGCTGAAGAAAGCTCAAGGCATCCGGTTTGGTGGTACAGGATTTTAATGGAAAAGAGCTGTGAGCATGCCACCCCTTTTGTTGGAGTTCATCATTTAGAGGATGCAAAAGCGCCCAGTCAAATCCTTCCATCTCACGCGGGCAATTTTCATCCACCGAAAAGGACATGGTTCAATCAGCACAATCATCTTTGTTGCATCGTCATCTCACCGCATTTTCAACATCAATATCTCACCTTCTCCTTCGCTACTGCCACTACTACTCACTACTACCACTCTTCTCAACCGCTCTGCGCTCTGCTTCAGCGCCTCGGCTCCAGGTGACGCCGTCCCTGGACCAGGTGAAGCCCACAAAGCCGGCGAACGGGTAGTAGACCGCCATGTAATACTCACCGTCCTGCCCCACTGCCGTGCCGCGAGGTGCCGGTGGCCGGTGCCCCCCCCGACTGTCCCAAATGGACTCTGTTCCTAGAAGCGATGCACTTGGTACTAATAGCTTCTTGTTACTACTAGTAAGGCACCTCTTACTAGTAGCGTGGCACTTGTTCCTAGAAGCAATGGAGAGGTCCCTTTGGATGTGTGGAGTTTGATATCAATGTGGTGGGGCCGGCAGCTGTTGGAAGCTGCTTCGTGGCCAGCAGTGCAGCAGTTTGGAGAATTCGAGCTTCAACGTTGTCTTGATGTGTTGCTTCCTGACTCGTTGAAGCATGTGTCAAGTTGTCTTCTTGGGTCGCCTTTGCATGGGTCGTAGCCCTACTCAAGTCATGTCCATTTCTGACACCATCGCCAAGTGCATCGCTATTAGTAGCAAGAAGCAACTAGTAGCAGGGGCATCGCTACTAGTAACGAGGGCATTACTACTAATAGCAAGAAACCGCTATTAGGCTGGAGGCCATCGCTAGTAGGTTGGAGGCCATTACTACTAGTAGCAAGAAGCTATACTCTTTACCACAAAGATAGAAGATATTCAGGAACTAGTTCAAATAGAAGATGCACTTTTGGGAGTGCCCAAAGAGCATTTCAAATAGAAGATATGAAAACAAGTGCATCACCACCCTCCACACAGCAGATCTCTCCTGCGTCAAGGTCACGACGGGATTCTCCACGGCTCCATCGAAACGCAACGGGTTGCCTGGACGCTTGGCCCAAGGTCCCGCCAAGCGCGGGGCAGTGGCCAGCCCAACGTGCCAGTCGGCATTCCAGCCTGGAAAAAAAGAAGCCAGGGAGGTGGAACTGAAAGCATCTTGGATTGGAACGATGTTCATTTAGAACCAACACATCATGAGCTAATGATATATACTATCTAGGTCCAAGAGAATTTTCCTAGGTCCCAGGCTGTACCCATCAGGCCCTCCGTTGCCTCCGGTCTTCTTCCTGCTCAGCGCCGACCCGAAGAAGCCATACCTTATTGGCCGAAGAGGAGGGGCATGGCTGGCGAGGGTGAAACCAATTGTACCAACCAATGGGGCGCTGTGGGGGGTTTGCGGCATTGTGCTTTGCACATCTCATGAGCAAATCCAAGTTGCCACTCACCATTCCGCAAGCGGTAAGGGAAAAAAGCATCGTCACCTTGGTCACCTTCCCAAGATAAATTGGTGCCAGGCATGGTCTCATTCAGCACCACCCCGGTTTCCTGTCACACGGGCGTTATGCACAAATTGTGTCAGGATCTCCAAATACGAAAGGTTTGCCTGATCCTTGTGAGTTATCTCTCTGCTCCACACATCCCAACCCATTCACCTTGACATGACCCATGGTTTTAAAAAGAACCGACTCTTCACCAAGAACCATCGAAGCTGTATCCGATCTTCGCCTCATACGGTCCACCCAAGCCGCCAGGGCCAGGGACGCTGGAGACCGCGTGCACGATGACGCCGCCGAACTGCACGTAGGCGTGGCTGCCGTTCATGGGCGCTGAGCGGTAGCCCACGTAGAAGAGGTGCCAGCGGCGAGTGTCCTGAACTGTAACACTTGCCGGCTTTTGCATGCACCCATCTTAGAAACACTTGTGTTAGGCCTTGGATCAGTTACAGTAGGTATAAGTATAAGAGGTTTGGGATTGAAGCGGTGTCGCAACACCAACGGGCCTATCCTACACTGGTCGCCCTACACTGGTCGCACCTGTTCGTCCCCCACCGAGTCTCGTCGTCGTAGACGGGCATCCCCGCCCAGGTGGAGCTGTGAACCCCGGAGGCGTTGTAAAGACCTGTGGAGCGTACCAAGGTGCCCACGCGGTACCAGCTGCCAGGTCGAGCTGTGGCCTAGCGCGAGCACGTGTTGAGGTAACTGAGTGGGTTTTTGATGGTTTTTGGGGAGGTTTGAAGTTAGCCAGGCTTGTGGCGGTTGTGGCACCAAGTTATTGGAGGAGCCCTTTCTGGTGCAAAAATAGCTGTCTTGACCATGAGGGGAAGAAATGCTCTGCCCTGGACATTCGAACCACAACAATCTCAGAAGCTATACAGCTTCTAACTGCCCAGGGTTTATCCCTCTTAAGCTTGGAGGCCATCGCTCCTAGGTTGGAGGCCGCCGAGCGTCCGAAGCCCAATGGCCGATCTGCATCACCAGATCCGACGGCAGCGTGCCGTTGCCCTGCCCCGTGCCGCGGCGCATGCGCTCGGAGGGGAAGCAATGGTAGAGCCCGTCGTCGGTCTTGAGGAATCGACCGCCCTCGAAACCATCTTGAATGCCCCAATGACCTCAGCACTCAGGTTCTGTGAGTGGTGCTGAGTTCCTGAAGAAGAAGTTGGTCCTAAAGGAGAAGTCTCGGAACATGCTGCTACGACTGTTGAAGGACGAAGTTCTTCCAGGAGGAAGTTCTGAATTGAAGGATTTCTATAAATAACGATGATCAGCTTCGTCCGCAAGTCTCTCCAGACCCAAACCCTCAACTATGGACCAAAAGCTACGCACTGCCACACAGCTACACCACAAGCCGGCCTCAGCCAGCCTCAGCCAGCACCACCAGCACCAGCAGCACCAGCACTAGCTCACCAGCCTCCCCCTGGAACCAGCGGTCCGGTCGCTCCAAGCCACTGGCCTCCGCCTCGCCGATCGCCGGCCGCAGCGCCAGCTCTCGGACCTGCAGCCGGGGTGGCGGCCGCCGCGCGAAGGCCGCCGCATCTGCGGCCGCGACGGCCACCGAGGCCGCGGCGACGGCGAGGAGGGCGGCCATGGAACGTGGGAGCGGCAGATGCTGGCGCAAGTCAGATGCTCAAGTCTGGGCACCGGTGGGCCATGGGCGTGGACTCAAAGATCCATCTCTGAAAGACCACGTCAATCGTCTCTGAAGAGGAGCAGCGGTCTACATGCAGAGAAATGGAACACCACATGAACACAAAAAACGCCCTGCCATTTTCACTTCGGTCCTGGCAACTGGAGCAGAGGCAGACTTCTGCAACTTTGGCCTCGAATTTAGGTGCTCGCGTAACGCTTGGAAGACCGAGTGCCAGCGAACGAATCCAAAAATATCTGCCTCCAGTGAGCATGCAAAGCAACGCTTGTGTGATAGGACACTTGAAAGGGTTGCTCTTTGCACTTGTCCTGCTTACCGTCCGTGCGAGTTCATCTGCACACAGACATGAAACGTCTTAGAAGGCAAAGCAATAAGCAATCTTCCCGAAAGCTCAGGGAGTAGTAGCAAGGACGCTATTAGGTGGAGGCCACCGCTACTAGTAACAAGAAGCTACTAGTAACAAGAAGCTACTAGCAGCAAAGGGCATCGCTACTAGGAGCAAGAACGCTACTAGGGGCTCCTGGCCGTACTACTAGGAGCAAGTAGCTACTAGTAACAAGAAGAGTAAATCTGGGGCTTTGGCAGCGATGCACGGCTCGCCTGCAAAAGCCCAGAGGCACTCACGCGGATCTGCCAATCATCCCACGCTGAAGACCTTCCCCCTTTATGAGTGACAAGCTGTTGAACTGCATTCGTATCATTGGGCATGCATTGGCTGAGATCTCTTCTCTCAGGAGTCTTCACCACCTCCGGGTGGATATGATGAAACCACATGCAAAACAAACATGCCAGTCGATCAGGTTGCGTTTCTGAACTTTAGGTTGCAGATCTCACGCCCTAAGGAGACGCCCTAAGACCAGTCGCTTGCCCACAGGCGATCGGCTGGCTATATCTGGCCTCTTTCTGCCCGCTGTTAGCTGCCTTCTTCGCCACCATTGCGAACTAAGGAGGCGTTGAACTTGAAAAAAGATAGGTGGATTCGTTCGGGAGGTTTCTGCCATTGTGATTGCCATAGGTGCTCCTTACCGTGCGTGTTCCAATCTCAGATTGTTCGACAGCGACGAGGAACCGTTGAGCAAAGGGCTTATGCAAGAGGTCAAAGGTTGAAAAATGGTTTAAGCCTTCAGCCAGTAGATTGGACAGCAGCGAGTTGAACATCTAAGGCTATCTGGCAAAGCGTTGGTTATCCCTTTGTCGTAGGCTTGCTGATGGGGTATGGAAGAGGTTGCAGTGCAAATGGTGTGCCCACAGGTTAGTGCCTAGTGCCCACAAATGCCCTTGCTGGTCACGCCTTCTTTGGGCTGACCTTGCACAAGAACCCGGCTCCAGGACCATCTTGCCATCAAAAACAAGCAGCCAAAAAGCAGCTCTGGCACACACCACCAAAAAGCAGCCATGTCCTCAACCTGTTTGTCTGCAAGTTCCTGTTTTGCCAAGCTACTCCTAACCCATAAAAACTTGAGTCATTTGTGCCCCAAGCTCCTTGGACTTAGCAAGATCCATGCCATCTCCGACATGGCAACATCAGGATTTGGACATGATGTTCCTTTCCAAACAGTGGGTCATCTGTTTCCTTTTCCGCAGGAGCAGGGTCCGGCGCAATCAATCCTGCACCTTGGTGCGGGGGAAGGTGTCATGATGTGTTATGTGTTGCCTGGCAGGGCTTAAACCAAACCGTTGGCTCCGTTGGGTAGGCTCAACACAGCTGAGGGTAGCTGACGTGTTGAAACGGATGGGTTCCGAAAAGAAGGACCTTTTGGTGAGTAAACCACTCAATGCTCCTCCCTCCTTCCACCATATGTGATGGTGCCCAAAGAGGTTGAATTAGTATGTTCAACAGTTGCACTGCTCTGAGGATCTCGAGACGAATGCTTTCTGGAATGCTGGCTCGTCATGGCTCCACTAGATCCAAAACCGGGAAAAAACAGACACGTGCCTCTTCAGGCGGACGTAGCCTCTCCATCCGTGGCGGCATCTAACGAATCGAAACCGGGTGGCATAATGGATGCGACTCCTCCGATTTTCAGGATCCATCACCTGGAAGCGTCACACCCAGACGGGCCAAGTCACATGACACACGCAGTGTAAAGATTGTGGACTCATGCCCACAAAGCGAACCGAGTACATAAGGACCATTGATACTAATTGATACTGTCGAAGATACGAGCTTCTGTTTTGCTGGGCCAACATGTGTGGGCTGGACAAAGGAACAGGTAAAAACGATTCCAGAAGAGATTCAGAGTCCCTTCACATTCGCTTTGAACGCCCTAACGGTTAGACCACCATCAGACGCCACGGTCAGACCATCTGAGCCGCTGTGCCCACCATCTTTTCCCCTGGCTTTGGGCCTGTGTCTCCGAAACGATGTAGCCTCCATGCCTCATTCCGGTGACAAAGAAAGACTATGACTAAGAAAGTCGACTGGAAGCAAGCTCCGTTTCGGCCAAGCTCCTTTAGGGATCAAGTTCTCTTGCTGCCGAGCTTCCACAGCTCTTTTTTGGGGCTGAGTGGTTGAGACAAGCGGGTGGTATGCCAAAGCTTGCAAGAACATTCAAAGCTACTTCTGTGCCGGCGATAACAAGAAGACACTTCCACATGCTGCAGTTAGGCCGTTAGGATTCGTTGGGAGAGTGCCTTGACCCAAATTGTCACACCTTCCCAAACAAACACCCGAACTCTGAGCACCAAGCTCCACAGGCTTGGTGATGAGCACATGCCCGGGGCCTGAGAGCGACGATTGGCCAATTGAACACACCGTGCCACTGTGTGGCCACCAATTCACTGAAGTCTCTCGCATCAAGGCGGTCTGAAGACGGATGAGTTACTGAATGCGTTCACCAATCAGTTTTCTGTGGCACAGCAAGCTCAGATGAGCGCAATTGATTTCATCCGCTGCGGCTAAGAAAGCCTCCGCCACATTGAACTCCTCGCGCCGAGCCAACGAACACTATGTGGCCAAATGCGCGCCAGAGCCAAAAACGATGCGCACCAAAGCGGGGCTGCGATTCTTGACCCCAAACGATTTCAGGATTCACTCAAGTTGTTGCCCCATCCAGCTTGAGTATGGCCTCCACCGAGCATAGCGTCCTAGTTACTAGTCTCCAACAAATTGTGGAGGCTGCTCTGCCTTTCCTTGTTCAGAAGACAGAAATTCCACGACAAAGGAAAGCGAGCCGAAAGCAGCCGCGACCTCGTTCGGCACCTCTACGGACCGTCCCTGGCCCCCTCGGGTCGCTCGCTCGGTCTCCTCTCGCTCCGAGGCGTTCTGTGCAATCACGTCGCCGCAACGGCCTGGCTCCGTGCCGCTCCGTGGCAATGGGGCCATGGGGCGGCCATGGGGCGGCCATGGGGCGGCCATGGGGCGGCCATGG